GAAGGTAAACACTGAGGAAGTGAAATGCTGTGACACCATAGTGCAGTGCATTTGCACCAGAGAGAAAAGAAGATCCAGCAATTTCATTACTGAAAACTGATCAAGTGAGATGAAACAGGGAAGTGCTTTACACCAGTGCATGAAACCTAAGACATCCCCTCTTGTTCACCCATTCACCCACTGCTTTGGAATAGAATGCAAACTGACATTAACATGGACAACAGCTGACAGGATTTTACCCACAGAATGCAAGACAACTCCTGTAGACTGGAGAGCATCATGCTTCAAATATGGTTAAATAACAGAGAGCATAGTATGCATTATGTTATATTTATAACAAACTAGAACAAAGTCTGCAATTTTTTTACTTCAATGCTGTAATTGTAATTCAATAGAAACAAGATCATAGTTTTCAGTGACTAAAACAATTGTCAGAACATATTTAATTAAAGGCTTAACTCTTCACTAAGTTCTCTTTTTTGAGGTCAAGAAACTGGCAGGTAATGTGCATTTCAGAAGGCAGCCAATAACAGTCGTGGTGGAACCACTTTATCTGCAGATGCTGAACACCACTGAAGTAAGCTGCAAATTGGATGAAATCGTGTAAGAAGACTGGTCTACTGAAGGCACTGGCACGTGTACTTCTGTGACTGTGGTACTCCTCCAGCTTCAGACAAACACTAGAATTCAAAGATAAATTCAAGGTTAAATGTCACGTGTCAGAACGCATTTTATGTTTTTCATTAATAAGTTGGTTAAAAATATGTGAGGCTTCTATTAGGACACCTGGACAGCAGGTGAATTGAAGTCAGCCATTTGCCAGGAGCAATATACATTCCTGTGTTTCTTATTTCTGACCGTACAGCCAAGGCAAAATATTGAAGTAAGATAGAAACTTCCTCCAGAATAGTCATTCCTTAATTGAAAGATTGTATTAACTTTGTTTCTGGTGGAAATTTGATCTTCAGCTGGCTTTCTAAAATATTTGCGAAGACCCAACCCAAGTTATTGTTCTCAAAGAATAGCTCACAAAGGAAACTACAATAAATTAGATTTAGAACATTCAGTTATTTCAAGAAAATGGTTTGTCTATTAAAAATATTTTATGAACATTATAATGAGGCTCACACTCTGGCCTGAAACAGCTTATGAAAACTTATTGAAGTGCTATGTGCCAAATAAGACTGGGAAATAACTTTGTGTGGGTAAGTAGAGCACTGAAGAAAACTGGGGAAGGATAACATCTTTTCTTTGACAGAAGAAACAGTCTCTTTCTTATGGCCAGAATCTACAGTAAATGTAAATCTACATTTACACCATAATGAATGGCAACTATTGACTAAGTGCTCCAGAAAAACCTAAATGGCCAAAAATAGTTTCAGTATAGTCAGCTCTATTTTTAAATAACTACCAAAGCTTGTATTAAGCAGTTCCCAATCACCACAGGGCAGCATGGCACACCTACCTTTTCTCTGTGCTCCCAATGCTAAGGGCTGTACTTCCCTCAGAATTTCTCTGCCATGCAGAGGCAGTCTGCAGGGCATGGCAAACCCTCTCTGCACCACAGACCCTTCACACAGAGGCCAGCAAAGATACACTAAGGGTATCAGAAGGTCTGATCTGACACTGAAGAGCTGCCACTGGGAGGGTTCTTCTGGGCAGAGGAGAATCAGCACTTTGCCATTAAACCATGCAGACAAATGCTGAGCCCAAGCCTCTTGCAGCAGACAGGTGGCCTTGTGGTGCAAGGTACAAAAGTGCTGAAAACCTCTCAATGGCACAAAGATTGATGAGACTTGTCAAAGTCACACATTTATTCACCCACACTGGAAAACATTGTCAAAACTCTGTCACATGATCCAAAGGCTCAAGATTCGTTACCACCCACTTCTTCACATATTTAGCACAGACACTTGGGGAAAAAAAGATGTGAAGCATGTAAAAACGTATACAATACATCACTACTAAACAGGAAGAGCTGGTATGTTAGGGAACCACTGCTGCATTTTGGCTAGGACTGATCTATGTCTTTTTCTGGGCTGATTTTCACCAGCTGTCCAATTCCAACTTTGTCAGCAAATGTTGGGTTTGGCTACAACCAGGTTACTGCTGTTTCAAGTGGTAACACACCTGAGCTGGAAAACAAAGGCTGAGTAAACCAAAGACTGAGTTCAAGTGAGATCAAAACTCAGCTGGAATGCACTACCCACTGCTCAGAACTCAGTGGACAACACCAACAAATCCAAACCACTCTTCAGGCTGGGACTTCTTCTGATCACACAGAGAATGCTGAGAGGTTTTTCTTCTCTATTTCACAGATCTAGATGTTCAACACATGGGCAAGAAATACCTTTGTTCTCCCTTTGTATGTTTTCATGTAGTTTGGTCATTTATGAACTCATTCACAATTGTGAGACTGTTCCCAAGCACGAGTCCAGATCATAACACTGCAGGTTTGGAACACTCAGTATTTGCAGAAACAGCATTAGCAACTTGGTATTTTGGTAAATTGGTATTTTGAGTGGAGAAAGGAAAAGCTAAGGATCCATAGAGAGTGGGCAGAAAATAAGAAAGCAATAATTTAGCTCCTTAGAAGCAGCACTGCCAGCTGTGCTGCCAGCTGGCCAGCTGACAGACTCATCACTGACCACAAGGAATCACACTCTGCCCTCATATGGTAAAATGGGAACTGTTTGCTCACTCAGGGTGGCTGAATAACCCACCCTGACAAAGCCCACACTAAGGATCCTCCCATCTTTTCTGGGGGTGCTGGGGGTGCATGTTTTAAAGTGGAGGGCAAAGGGATTCTTTTAGGCCACTACCTTAGGACCATCACAACTTCTGCATCTGAAACCATAATCCTTTGATGAGGAACAAAATAGATGCCATGCCTGATAAGCTTCTATCCTGATACTTGTCCTGCAGCTGAAGGGCTGTAAACCAGATCTAGCCACAAAGCAATTGTCCTTGCATTGTCCACTGTAAGTAATGTGTATTTACTCAGGACACTGGAACAGGACACCATGCATGCTTCATGCTGAAGAAAAGCCCATTTGTGCCTGTTATACTGGAAAGTTTGTTCAACATTAATTCTTAAAAACTGGTTGTGTTTCTTAGATTCTTATAATCCTTTACTCTGAAATTAATGGGACAGTTGGTAGGGTATGCCATCTGATTTGGTCCCACCTGAGCATCTTCAGGGATGCAAACTTGAGTTATCACTTAGCTGATGAAAGAAGAGAAACCACTGATATTCAGGTCTGAAGACACTTAAGAGTGGTGTCCAAACCTCTGCTTTGCATTATTCACTACAGTGTGTACCTTCCTGGATCTTACTGGGGCAACTGTGCTACAGTGGAACCTAATGCAGAAACAAGTGGTCCACTATGTTATACAGGAGGGGAGACAGTTCTAAAAAGTTTTTATTTGTCAGGCTCTAATTATGCAACCCACCCATTTATATTGAATATGAATCAATCACAGGGTGTCATAAAAATGTCTCAAAAAGAAACTTCTATTAACAGTACAGAGAGGTGATAGGTCCGATGCTTCAGTTGCAATAAACCCAACACTCTGTTACCCCACATGCACACTTCCCCTGGCCCAGAACTCCTGACCATGAAACACCCTGTGTGACTCTTGATGACAACAGCATTTGCTTCCTTCTTGTCCAGCAACAGAGTGAAGCTCTCCCCTAGCTGAGGTGAGGGCAATTTCTCCCCTTCAAGAACCTTTCAGAACATTCTTTTCTGCACACAGGACAGTGAAGTGTCTGTCCTACAGCTTTTAGCTGGAACTGGTTTTAGAAGAGTTTTGGTCTGCATGAACTGAGATAGCCAAGCTCAGTATCATCTACCCATGCAAGCTCCCTTCTATCTTACTTGTCAGACAGAGCAGAGCAAGCACCATGTATCTGGCAAAAAACACATGTTCTTACTCTATGAAGTCCATCTGAAAGCAGAGAAAGTCCCTTTCTCAAATGCATTTAGATACCTAGAGATGCAAATCAGCATTAGGTGGTGACTGTCAAAGGACATAAGGTGCTCAACTGTTCCTGGTTTCACTTTCTTCAAAAAAATACAGTGATAAGTTTCAGGTGGTGACAAATATCTGTGAGCAAGCCAATTCTTGGCACTAGAACTGGTCTCTTCCTTAGATAGACTCTGCAAGTGGAAGTGTTTATCCACATGCTCCACCATTCCCTGGAAGAAGTGTGAGGCTGCACCACGTGCAGCCAGCTGGGAAGACAGGGAGCCACTGGTGGCTCTCGGGAACACTCAGCAGACAGTTTATGGTGCTTAGCACTGTGAAAGAGCACGAAGAGAAAGGCACAGAAATCCATTATTGAAGCAGTTTTCTGCTCAATAAAGCACCTGGTAATTTTGTGGATAAATATTTCCCTCACTTCTAGATAAAAATGTATTTTTCCAGTTCCATAAAGAAAATTCACATTGATAATGTAACTACTGAATATCCTACACAACACTATGCTATATGCCAGATCTTCTATACAGAATTCTATGATTCTGTAACTTAATACCTTGCACCCATTATCATGAGTCAGGAAATCACTATGGCTGCAGGAATTTGACCCTTATGTCCTCATAATACCTCAGTAAGCTAGATAGGCTCCGTAACATTTTCTTTAGGAGGGGAAATAGGCAAAAAGAAATGAACTGACTTGCACGGGGAAACCCAGCAAGTCTGGGAGCAAATCCCAGGTCACACCCACAGATCTTTCCACTGTAAAATCCTAATTCTTGACCTTAATTGGAGGTACAGCAGATCACTTGATCATACTTACGATCCCGACACCTCAGGTTGTAGAATTGCAAACACTTTTGGCTCCAGCACAGCTGGAGTAAGATTGGATTGGTTCAGACCTGACCTGATGTGTGACTGCTGGAAGGGAGCAAACACCCACCACTGGATCTGAAGGGGTGATGAGACTCTATGCAGGACTTTAAGCAATAGGGAGTACTAAGGGTACTTTCCTTGTTTAACACACGAATTCTTCACAGCTCACTGTTTTGTTGTGGTGTTTGCCCAGGCTGGGAATGTGTCCAGCCCAAACATAGGTCTTCCCCATGTGTTGATGGCCAGTGTGACACTGAGGACTCCAATGACGTTCATCACTATTCCAGATTTAACCTGTGAGGAAAAAACCCAAACCAACAACAATAACTAAACACCAGCACAGCAAATTCAAACGAGCAACACCCAAACACCAGCACAGCAAACTGCAGCAAGGCCTACTTGAACACACACAAGAAAGACGGTCAAATAAATCACAGAAATTGCCATTGTATCTGCTGCCTTCTACTCTTGCTTGGGTGGAGATACCAGGGAACACACTATGCAAAGTCTTTGAGCACTTTGCTATGTATATAACCAGTCTAGGAGCTTTAAGGCATGTGTAACAAGTCATTCTTATTAGTTAGAGAACAGCTTATGCCCTCTTCAAGTACCCAGTTAGAAAACCAGTAAAGTTTGTGTGTTCCACCCAGAACCTGCCCTGTGTGGTCTGGCAGAAAATCAAAGGACCAGAGCCAAGGGCTACTGATTGCTACCTTCTGCTTTCAGCTCCAGTGGAGACAAGGCTTTAGACACTCGCCAAAGCCCCAGAACACTGCAGGGCATGACTGCATTTTAACCCTTCAGGTTTCAGGAACTTGTGACTTGTCAGTTTTTCATTTCACTTGGGCCAGTCTGTATGTCTGCCAAAGCTGTGAGAAAAGTACTGTTACTTCAGAGATGCAAATTTATATCACAATATTAACACTGCAGGAGAGAGGGGCATAGAGTGGCAGTTACAGCCCCTAAGAGCTTCCTGGTACTTTGGAAATACTCTGCTAAGAAAATTAAACTCTCACCATACTTCGGGAAGAAAGCAGTGGAGAATTTTAGGTAAGAGAGAAGGCAATTATCTTACCATATCCAAAACACGGATGTGGCCATAAGAGAACACTATTGCATTTGGGGGTGTTGCAACAGGTAGCATGAAGGCAAATGAAGCACTGAGGGTAGCAGGCAGCATAACATACAAAGGGTGGATCCTGATAGATGTAGCCTGCAATGAAATGGAGAGAATATCACTCTGGGGGGTATTTGAAAAGAAAATCATAAAGGACCAATCTACCCCAGACCACTGAGATACTTAGGCTTATTTTGTTTCCTTGTATTACATCACCAGAATAATTCACAAACATTTTATTCTGAAATCCTCATGTGCTTAAAGATAACTTGCTGTTGTTTCCTGTCCCATGATACTTAAAAACAAGGCTTGTTTCTTTCATGTTGCTTGTTTTTCTCTATGGTATAATTTACATTTCTGGTCAAATATATCCAACAATCTTTTCTTTGACCTCGGACCACCCTTTTTCCAAGGAACACAGGAATGGGATTGTAATTACTAGGCACGTGGGGTGACACTCTTAGACTTTACATAAACTCTGTGGGATGCAAAACTTAAGTGCCAATTTAAGTCATTAATAGCTCAGTACCTTGACTGGGGTAATTTTTCTTCGATGAAATAGTCTAGAATAAAGTGCTTGTCCTTTCCTAATTAAAGAACAAAGTAACCTATTTTTCTCTTTATGCCACAGTTTCTATTCTGCTCAGAAAAGGCAGTAAAACTTATCAGGTTTTCCTCCCTAAGTTTTAAAATTGGGTTCCCATAAGAAATTACACATTTATAATAATCAAGCCTACCACTTTTCGTATTTCAGCACAAAACGTGAAGATGAGTAATCCAAAGGCATCATCAGGAAGTGCTGGATTTTGTTTTGGTTTGTGTTTTGTGTATGTGTGTTTTTCCAGTTCTAAGTTGATGGTTCAAAATGACCAGAAGAAACTGATGTTTGCTAATCTATACTGAAAAAAGTGACTGCCACTTCACTTTCTCCAGGGCCAAGGCACACACCTTACAGAAGGCATGATCTGGCTTCCTTTTAACTACACTGGAGCAACATCCAAGACAATAAATGTAATATTGCTTTGCCACCCAGTTTAACTCTGATCCTCCAGCTGACAAGGCAACAGGACAGAAGCAATCTTACCAGGGATGCAAAGACAGGCAGGAAGAGGGTAGCTGTGGCCACGTTACTGGTGCACTCAGTGAAGACAGCTATAATAAGGGAGATCACTGTTGCAATGGCCCATGGTGGGATAGATCCTAATGGAGTCATTTGACGACCCAGCCAAGCTGAGAGCCCAGAGTTCTGCAAGAAAAAAACGTGGGTTTCAGTGAAGTTTAGAAGCCATGTTATGGGCAACATTCCTGTCAAATAATGCTAAAGGAGTCCTGAATTATACAAACACCGTCCAGGAAAGTACAATGATCTGTCACAAAAACTAAAAGAAATTCCCTGCCTAGACATAACACTGAATCCCACTTTTCTGATTCTTCTGAAAACCAAATACTTGCTCACGCATAGGTTACAAAATTATGGCTTTCTTGCTAAACAAGAATTTTTTTCTGAGGCCATTGCAAATACTTAACGTATGGCCCAGAAGCTTCTTGGCACATTTTTCTAAGGTTTCTGAAGGTTATGATTCCGATGAATGCTCCGTTGTCAGAAGACAGTCAGTAATTGATACAAACAGGTTACAAAATCTCTGACTTGATCGTTTTTAATGCTCTGGAGTTATAATAATTTATGTGTGATGTATGTAGATGAATGTAAGGCCCAAAGCTTTAATTTGCCCCATGGTTTAAACCTAATGAGCCACAAAACTTATACGTGACTTTCCCCAAAGTATGGTACTACTGATAGCTAACATTTGCTTTGATTTAGATGCATCTTAGCAGTGATGAAGGAAACAATACGGTTCACCCCAAGATTCCTTCCTGTTTTGGGAATTTAGCTGCCTCTTCTGTGAATTTATGAATATAGCTTCAAACCAGGATTTTCTTTCTGACCACTTCAGCAGTGGTTTTGCTTTAAGTCTGAAGATATATCACCCTTAAACAAACCGCAAATAGTTCTGAAACTCTGACAAATGCTATCTATACTTCTACTTTTCTAGCCAGGGCCAAGATTGGGATGATTACAGAAATAAGAAAGGATGCTTTTCTGGACCGTCCAGACAGTGAAAATCCCAACCTACTCAGCAGGCTCCAAGAGGTAGGACAAATTAAAGAAACTCGGGCAGAGAACAAAAATTCCTAGAAAAACTCACAAGCATTCACCTTTCCTTGGTTTTTGCTAATTTAGATCTCTCTCCAGATCTGAACTTTGCTACTGGGTTTGGCTTTGGGTGCATGCCCAGTAATACAGGACTAGATAACAAACCAGGGAAATTCGCCTTTGAGTCAGAGAAAAACAGATTTCAGGACATACTGCGCTTGCATCAGCCAAAGCAAAACCTCCTCCCAGCAGCAGCACAATGCTCCAGGGCATCTTCCTTTGAACCGCATCCCATTCTAGCAGCGGGGCTGATAAAAATGGCTTTATATCTGAAGTGAGAAATGAAAAGTAGAACAAGTTTTAGGAGAGTGAAGACACTTTGTCTCCTGTTCTATAAGGTACCAGTACTGAGAAATCTGCACAGGGTGAGGGTAACACACACAAGGACTGTGCCCCAGCCCTGCCCAACAAAGGAGGTAGAGAGCTGCTCTAAAGAATTGGATGCAAATCCAGTGCATGTTTGTGCTTTGTTAGCTGAGTGGGTTAGCTGTTTCACAGTACTACAGTCTCTCTTTTAAATACCTTTTTCAGTCTGTTCAGGGTCGGACTTGCTTGGATTGCAGGCTGTGAATGTGGGCTTTTGAGCAGGAAGGATAAACAGTAACAGGGCAACAAACATAGCAGGAACAGAATCAGTGATGTACCTAAGGAAGAAAAGAGAATACAGGCTAGAAAATGGACACCTTTCTCCTAGAAAAGGGATGCCTTCCAGCATTCTAGTCACTGATCTTTGCCATCCCATTTGGGGCTTGAGCAAAATGGGTCATAGCTCATGTCTGAGGTCTCTCAGACCTACCATAATATAAACACAATAATAAAAGAAACAAGCTACAATACACATTAATAACCAGAGTCCTGGATGACAACTCATCCTTCCTGGAGCAGGGTTCCTTCTCTGTGCTGAAGCCAAGACCCAACAGTTGTATCTCAAAGACAGACATCTAAAGAAATGCCCTGAATAATAGTCCCAACATGGTTATTTTATGTTCCTAATATGCCATGCATGAACACTATGCAAAGAAGCCATTCAAAGCACAAAATCAATTTTCCAGTGAGTTTTAAGGTATTGGTTAATGGTGATATTACCAAATATTCAAATGTGACTGCAACTGATTTGAGCTCATACAAACAAAATACTAAGGTGTACGTCAGTGTGACTGAGACCAGCATTACAGAATTTTCTCTTCTTTTAGGAGGTTCAGCTTGCTCATGTCTCAGTCTCCAGCCTTTTCACTGCAGTACAAACTGTCAAATCATAGATGATTGGTAATGTCATGTACAAGCCACTGGATCAAGCCTGGCAACCAGGTGAAGTCAGGTAAAATTGGAATTAATGACCCCACATTCAAAATGGAATGTATGAGCGAGGGAATCTGATTAATAACCAAGAGCGTAAAAGATGGAAAAAAACCCTCAAACTTACTTTTCTCCTCCTTTGAAGAGCCAGGAAGCCCAGCCTTTTACAAAGCCTGGGTTTCTGGTAAACCACAAGAGCACCAGCAATGCAAACAAGAGGAGGACATTTAATTCAGCCTAACTTCTTAATTTCTTCCTTCAGCACATTGTATGCAGCTTTTTCTCTGGAAGTTCTCTCTTTCCCGCAGCCCCAGCTTTTTTTTAAGCTTTGAGAAAAATTGAGAAAAAAAATACTGTAAGTATGAATATAGTAGAAGGATTTAACATCCTTACCACTCTGAAGCTGTCTTGGGGACAGACACACACCACAGCAGAGTCCACAGATAAAGAAATTACAACAGTGTCAAAGTATTTTGTGGGGATATGCCAGCTCTCACAGAAGAATGGGGTCTATCAAAGGATAGCAATTTGGAGCAACCTGGGACGGAAAAGTCTAGTTTGAATCAATGGCTACAAACCAGCTATGCCAGCTCTCCTAAGGCTGAAATTCACAGGTGAGAGACTGAAAAACAAAAAGGCAATTCTGTCTGAAGATTAAGAATGTATAACGCTTTTGTCTTAATGTATCTCCCATGAGCACAAAAGGTTTCCAGACCTCAACATTTCTGTGAAATGGACCTGCTCTCTGCTACAAAATTAATAACTTGTCATTGCATATCTTTTAGCCAGATGTCTCAGTAAGCTGATCTGCACTAACTTACTTAGGGGTTTACATAACATTGTGTAGATAAATACTCACTTGAATCCCATGAAGGAGCACTGTAACCAAAGCCAAGCTAGCACCAACATCAGGACCATGTTTGGGAATGCAAATCCAAACCAGGAAGCAAAATTCACAATATCATTATTGTTGGGGTACAACCTGCAAATAAATTACTTTCTATATGAATGTCAAAACATTTATTAATCTACTCTCCCTTTAGTATGTGCTGGTGACAACTATGCATGTAAATCTAGGACAACATTACAAGTAAGCATAGGTAACATTCACAGCCTAACTTAAGTCATGGGGGAAGGCAGCCCTGATTTCAGAGCAGAACTTAAATGATTATCAGTTTTCCCTATGTTTTACTTTGATGCATATAGAAGCTTATGTTGATACTTTAGGTCTCAGTCAGACAAGTGTGGCTGAAAGTTCTCCCATACATTCTAGATACCTTTCACTTCCAACACGTCTGTTCATTTATCTCAAGACAGGATATGTTTTCTTCCTCCCAATTCATTCTAATAAGAGAGCAAGAAATGTCTTTCCTGAAATTAATACCTGTACTTCTGCTGCCTTCAACAGATGAAAAAGTTGCTAGTTGGCTTGAAAGAATGAAGACAGTGTTTTAAGAAAGGCAATTTTTGTTCTTCTCTGTGTTTGCCAATAATGATCGGAGGAAAAATATCAATAGCAAACTTCCAGCTGGGTGTTAAAACCAACAGATAATGTAGCAGCTGAGGCTGAAGTACTCGCAACACAAGGAAGCAATGTTGGAGAAATTCCACTGCAGATTGGGTTCCATGTAGATCAGTTCCCAAACTCAGTTTAGCAATGAGAGAAAAACACAACTCCTCAGTTTCCACAGCCACACATGGAGGAACAGTGTTACAGGAGGGGCCAAGCTCCTTCTAGCTCTCTTCAGTGTGCTTATGGGTAGAGTTAATCTACATTCTTCTGGTGCTCTTTACTGCAGTTCCTCTTCTGATGTGCTGTATTTCAGTTGAAAAAGAGGACACAGAAGAACCAATATCTCATAATCAACCACTTGCATGTCGATTGCCAGCAAGTATTTCCAATTTTCTCAGAAGACCTTAATTCCATCACATAGCTGCCTTTTAAAAGATGCTGAAGCAAAAAAAAATGAGGCCCAACACTTCATACACATTTTCTCAGTCTCAGTTCCTCAACTTATTGCTTGAAGTTCACAACTGAAATTGTCATCTAAGACCAGTCAATTGGTCACACAAACAGCATGACAGTGTAACTAAAAGAAGCAGCAAAAATTACTTACTGATTCATCTGGCCTTTCAGTACCACATTTGGTCCTGTTCCAGTAAGTGTTGCAGTTCCTCCAATGCTGGCAGCATAGCATATACAAAGTGTCATTCCCTTGCGTATATGCTTCCTCTTTTTCTTTTCCTCAGAAGATCTGGGGTCATCAGGGACTTGTTCATTGCTTACAACTACACAGAAAGAAAATTATTTGCCTCAGGTAAAGTTGGAATGGCAAAGAGTTCAGGATAGGGTCTGTAGGCTTAGCGCTTCCAGTTTGTATGTGCCATTTATTTAAATTTTAAAACCCACAGATATCTCCCTAAACACTTCAGACTAATGTTAATGAGGAACTGAAGACAGAGGCTGACAGTCTGGGTTTACATGATCCAAGGATGCTGTTGCCCACATCAGTGCCACAGCTCCTCACCAGTCATGTCTTGTTTCACAGAGAGGCTTACCACCAGCCAAATATTGTAGTCACTGAAACCATTCCAATTCCACAGTGAGAACCCAACCAGCTTTAACAGATGTGAATATAGGAAGAAAAAAACAACCCACTGAAACCCAAATACTTGCTTGGCATTTTGTCAGTTTACAATAACCATGGAACTTTACTGCTGTGTCCTTTGTTTTCTGAGGTTAACACTCTAATCTTGAAGTCTGACTGGACTAATGGAGCAGGAGAAAGAATTTATGACAATTACAACCAACTCAACAATATCAAAGGGTATTTTTTGCACACTCTTACTATCTTCACTACACTTGGAATCTGATCTTTAATCATATTTAATAATATAGCTCTCTGTAACACCACAGCAGAGCAGTGAAATGAGAGGGTCTGAGTTTGTGCACATATTTCAAATGAGGTGAAACCTACTGTAGAACCACAGCACTGGCAGAGGACTTTGAGGAATCAAGCATCAGGGTAAGATGTCATACAAGAACAGTTTGTCTACTGTGAGTCAAATTACTCCAGATCCTCTTTTCCATGTGGCTTTTAAAGTAGTCCTCTTTCTTCTCCCCACCTCCACATACAATCTGGTCAATAAAGAGGTATTTATTACCCTAGAACCAAAATAGATTGTGTTTACACAATTTTTTCAAATAGTCCTACATGGCCTAGAAGCTGAATCCCCACTGATAATCACAAGATTAGAAAGTGGGATGCTGGGGGTTTGGATGGTTATTTCCCACAGGATATGCCCTTCACTTCCCTAAACAGGCAGTTAAGTCTAGGGAAACTGTGGGAGGATGACTCCAGCTCGAAGGAATGAACATAACCTGTCTGTGATCTAGCACTAGCATACAAAATGGCAAGCTATGAAAACGGAAAGTTATTTTGTAAAATCTAGAAGTCATGTATTTAAGGGATTTCAGTCAGGTTACCCTCCTCTTTCCTTGGAAAGGGTACACAGCACTCCTAGGCTGGGGAGCTGAGTGCTGCAAGTTCAGTAGCATCAGTTTATTGGTAAGTAGGCCCTTACCATTCTCTGCAGTGGACACTGATGTGCTCTTTTCCTCCAGCTCAATCACTGTATTTGTTTGCCCAGCTGCTTGTTCCATCACAGCCACATCATGCTCCGTGCTGTCCAACTGATCCAGGACAGCCTGGATAATGGGAACCATCATGGCAGTGGTGGCTGTGTTGCTTATCCACATGGACAGGAAGGCAGTGACTAACATAAATCCCAGCATGAGGCTGAAAAGAGAAAAAGATGCAGAAGAGAGGGGAAGAAAGTGAACAGATGCTGCTAGCCACTGTAATTTGGAGAGCAAAGCCCAAGCAGGGATGTATGCAGCATCCACTAGTACAGAGCAGGGCCAAACTACTTTCTAGGACAGCTCTGCCACCTTCACTGAAGGAATCCCAGAGCATGATTAAGCCTGTCATAATTTTGTCCCCAATGGCAAACCTCTAAAATTTAGTCAGATGCTAGTTTTGGATAAAGGACAAATAAACTGTTCCCGTTTCTAGACTTCATTTCTGGAAACTCTGTGCAAATACAGCTAAATTGGCTCTTGAAGGATCCTTTCTCTGCCGACTGCTAAATATCATCCCTGGGGCTCTGCTAAACTGACAAGAGGTAGGAAAAAAACAATGTAATACACTTACAGTGCAGGTTGCACCCCAAGAAACAGAAGGACCTTCAGTGCAATCCTTTTGTGAAGTTTCCAATGCTCAACAGAAATTGCAACAATCAGCCCTCCAAAGAAGAGCATGTTTGTGTTATTTAGGTACTGCAAGCACACCTGAAAGACAGAGAAGGTAAGTCAGGCCAAAATACTTGCTTCACTAACACAATTTGTCTACCACCCTCTCAAATCCATGGATTGCACCACGCCCCAGCCAACACCAGAACGAGAGGCTCCCTGCAGTTTCCTGAACCCTTGAAATCCTGTGTAACTGCCTTGCCTGTGCAGGAGCTCTTTGTGCATCATTGTGTAAAATGATACCGGTTTCCTAAAACACAGCTGGGGGCTCAAAGTATGGAGGGTGCTGGAAATACTGAGCTCCAAAAGGGCTTTCTCAGCACCTTCAGCAACCACACCAGGCTTTACTGGCTTGCTGGGCAGTAGTGAAGCTGGGCTACAGAACCGGAATACAGCCTGTGCCTTGTGCCTCCAGCACAAACAGCCCAGGATGAGATCTGGGGAGGACACAGCATACCTGCCAGCACCCTGCTGGCTTATCCTTTCAGCAGTTTGTCCCATGCATTTTGAGAGTTCCCAGAAGACTGTCAGCACTGCTTTCTCATACATTGGGAACACACAAACTGCTGGCACTACAGGGATGCTCTCCAGCAGGATCCATGCCCAAAACAGACCCTCCCCTCTACCACCTCAGGCCCCACACTCTTAATAGTTTGGACAAATGGAGTTCAGCATCTTCCCATATAAGAGCCCTGAACACTAATGAAGACTTGTTGGCTAAATATTGATGAGGGATCAGAGCACTGGATTTCTCTGTATCAGACCTGGATTGCACGAGTTCCTTACTGATTTAGCGCTCCGAACTCCAAGCAGAGGGAGAAACACCACTGGCATGAGGGAGGTGACAGCCAGGGGGATCACTTCAGTGCACCAGTACACAGCCATGACGATGATGACATAGCCACATTTGGCCTCCTGCAACATTACAGAAGACACATTCAAGCATTAGAAACTGTTTTTAAAGATAAGAAACACATTGGTAGTGCTTACAAGGGGCTCACAAACACTCCGTGTCTGTACCTTAACAAGTTTTGCTGAATGAGGACTTAAACTTGTGCTTTTAAATCATGTTCTGAAGTCGCTTGTATAAAAAAAATCTTTTTGACCAAGAAGACCATAGTGCTTGCTTTAATACATCTGCACAAAATAAATACTACTGTGTGCAAGTACCTATTGGTGGTTGAGGTCAGCAGATTTTACATCTAGGAGCCAATAACAGCAATAGAGCTAATTCTTTTTAATGGATGGCCAAATTTCCCAGTGTGGATGATTAGCCTGCTTGAAATTCACAAGTCTTTGATGTATGTCCAGTAACACAGTTGAGCTCAGAAACTATTTCACTAAATAATTTTAAAGTTCTTTGCTTTTTAAAGTAAAGTAAAACTAAGTAAAACTCTTTTATATTTTTTCTTTTTTATTATTTTTATTCTTTTTGTGACTAAGCACATTACAGGTATTAAACTACTTTCCCAATTCATACTGTCTCTATTTCCTAAGAGGATTCCCTAGTTTAGAATTGTTGCAACCTGTCTTTTTGGGCTGTTGATCAGGCATTTCTGTATCCCAGCCTTCCGTGGTTTGTACTCTAAAAATTTTAAGGAGAAGCAAGCATTCATTAGCTAACAGTGAACTGTTTGAAAGCTGAAGTCAGTGTTCTGTAGTTCAGTATTTGCTCCTATTTAGGGCATGTGTTTATAGGAATTTACTGTAATACAACAAATGTGACTTTATTGCTAAAATAAATGGTGTGACAGTGACACTTAAAAACTGACATCAGGTGATATTAGTAAGTATGGATGTGTATGCCTAATTTTGTTGAGAAGTTTAGGAATCAGAAAACACCTTTTGTAAGCAATTTGCATTTTTTTCCCTAAAGTTTCCAGATTAATTACAGCACAAGTTTTGAAGAGAAAAATTCTTCAGAGACTAGAAGATACCAGGTGGATCCTGTTAAAGTCTCTTCCCTTTATACATGTAAGGTCAGCTCATGATACAATTCATGCTGTACTGCAGCAATGCAGGGCTAGAACTGACTGTGGTTAATCTGTTGCTAGTATGAAATACAAATAAACAACTTGAAGTGAATAAAATTCAAAACAGTGGTTTTATAAAGTACAGAGTAAATAATTTATATGAAGTTCAAAATACAACCATGCTTATAAATTAACTCCAACAACCATGGCCAATTCAAACAACCAAAGATTTGGTATTAAGTATATATTTGTACTTCTACCTATACCTATCTGACATTCATGGGAACAGTCACAGAATGTCTCTGGTGTTTCTGTACAGTTGACATAAAACACAGTGACCTGCCTCCCAGCTGAGGGATAAAGAAGCAGTCACTGACAGAAATACTACCTTCCAATTGTGAAATATTGTAATTTCTTAGGTTAGACTAATGACACAACATGCCTACAAATAATGGCAAACTGAAGACATAGTTAATTCTTTTGGAAGTTATCTTTCCTAGTTTTGACAAAGTACAGCTTAACTGGTCAGGAATTCCTCATTTATATAAAGCACCACCATTCAACTGAAAGGCCAGGCTGGTAAAACTTACACAGGTAAACCAGAAAGGCTGGCAATTTGATTTATAAACACAGATAAAATTTTCCTGTACTTTAAAACAGACTGAGCAATACAAGTTGCTCAGAAGAAAGGCTGTTTTTAGCATTAGAATAGCCTCCAAAGCTCTAGCAGGCTAAAATTCTGTGAACTGAGCTTTTACACTTAGTCAAGAAGGCTACAAGGCATTAAAGCCCAAACTTCCTTGGGTTATTCCAATTTTATGCTGGTGTAACTCCACTGAACGCAAACGAGTTGTGCCATCGCCATCCCTGGAATTAAGACGGATGAATTGGAGGGCATGGCATTTGAAATCCCGACCAATTCATACAGCACAAGGCTGACTGCACCAGGATGGAGAATGTCACCAAGCAACACGCTGGGAGTTCCAGAGCCTCAGCAGAGAGCTGGGGGACGCACTCCTGCCCTTCAGCCCACTGCAATGGCTACGACATCGTGCAGGACAGCTCCAAACGCGCCGGCCAGCTACACACGGGTTTGTCTTGGCCCAGAATGAATTGCATCTAGCTGGCACGATGGGTTGGGTGTTGGGAGCCACCGGGAGCAGGGCAGAGTGGGGATGGCCGGGGGACAGCGGGGACGGAGTGGGGATGGCCGGGGGACAGCGGGGCCGGAGCCAGATTCTGCACTTACCCGCGTGGGCACAGCGAGCGGCAGCGGCAGCAGCAGCAGCGGCGTGAGGAAGAGGATGGCGGAGGAGCGGTACCTCAGCAGGGGCCGCACGCACGCCGGGGCCATGCTCTGTGGGGTGACACGGTCAGGGTGCCAGCGGGACCAGCGCTCGCCGCCGCCGCTTTAAGTACGGGGCGGGAGGGACGGGAGGGACCCGGCCGGGGGCGACACGTCCCGCCCGCCCCGCCGGGTCCGCCCCGGGACCGCGAGCGAACGGGGCGCTCCGAGCCGCGCTCCCTGCCGGGGACACGGCACCCCCTCCCAGGGCCACCCCCGAGCGGGGCTGCTGCAGCCCCTCCGTGCCCAGGAAAGCGGCTCAAGGGCCGTGTATCAGCTCCCACAGCAGCCGGGACGGCGCTCCAAGAACCGTCTCCCTGCTCAGAGCCCTCACTAAGGTGCCAGCCAGCACAGCTCGCACCGCACGGACCCTTTCGGGAGCTGCGCTTTCGGCAGGGGACGATCGTCCCTCGCTCATTCACACAGTGCTGGGGAAGGACTGAGCTCCTCCAGGGAAATGGAGAGTTAAAACTACAGTGCGGGTCTCCCCAAAACAAAGGTCTGTGCAGGCATGCATGGCTGTGTTTTGCTATTATTTTGAGAGGCATTGTGCCTCTGGATCTGGGTTAAAAATAACCCGGGAAGGTTAACTTGAAAGGTTATTTTAATGTTGTTGAATTCAATGACTTCGTCTACACCGCAGCCTTGAAATCCAAAGGGGCTGGTACTGATGGTGGCCAGCACGACTGAGAGGGCAGAAAGGGACAACTACACAGAGGACAAACAAATTGTTGATATTTTAGGTCTTGCTGCTGAGATGGCAACAGCCACCTGAAATTGGAGTCAGCCTAAATCTCATCTCAGCAATTTGATCCTGCAGTCTCTTAATACAGTCTTACCAAGCAGTTACCCACAGAAATAAAGAATTTCAGATTCCACAGCAAGTAATGAGGGAACTCTGACTACAGCTTGCACTCTTTGTCCCCTGCTGACCAGAGGAACTTGAGTGACAGAAGTTCAAAACAAGACACTCCAATGTTACTTTTCATTTATAAAAGCAGTGAATGCCCACTAAGAAAAGCAGTAGCCAACCGGATCTGGAAAGATTCCAAATCTTCAAACCTTTCGGAGCAGTCCCTCTGGGTAACTTACCAACACAGAGGAAACTTCACACCAGTGCAAAGTCTAGCAGAAAGTGGGGAATCGGCCAAAACTTGAATTCCTGTAGCCTGTCTCCAATGAAAAAATGGTTCCTAGTCAAAAAAGAAAAAGGACTAGAAGCACTTAAATAAGAAAATGCAAATAGTTAACTCTAAATGAGTTGCTTTAAGGTTAACTCTGACAGACCAGTGCACATACGATTTGTTGTCTTCTTGTTTCAATAAGATGCAGTGAAAAAAAACCAAAATAAAAAGAAAGACAAAAAATGTATTGATACCTTTAGATGGACTAATCTTGTGAAAGGAGACTTGCTTGCTGTACCTGGGGATGAGACATGGGACTCCACGGGCAATTAAATTAGCTAATCCACACCTCAGTCCTTTATTTGTCAATAAGGAAAGGGAATCAATATTCCCTTATTGTGCTGAATTATTGCAAACTTGCCTCCGTATCATTTGATGATGAGCTTCCTTTTCACTGTGCCAAGGAGAAGACAAACAAAGTGTTGGCTGCTTGCTTTACAGAACTGGTCTGACAGCTGGGTAGAAGGGAGCTGCAGAGAGCCTAAGCACTTGCAAAACATGCAGGAGGAGTTTTAGGTGGTCCAAAGAGCATTCAAACAAAAACCTCCCACAGCCTGAAATTCAGCTCATGCTAATTGAGCACTAATTGCTCACCTCCAAGGAAAAGGAATCCTTTCCTCTAGTCAGTATGGCTCTGAACATAGTAGAGAGCAATGGCTTTACATACGGCTTTAGAAGCAGTGGGTAAAATCAGCTTTTGGTTGCAGACATCATTTAGAAGCAGAAGACTGTAGCATCCTATGGGCCAAATTTTGATATCCTAGTGTTGAATAATGTGCTTTTCTTGTTCTTGGTAGTAAGTTTCAAATCAGTTTTCAAAGGAACTCAAATTTTTGTGTTACAAAAAGGCATAGCCATAGGTGGTGACATGAACCAGGAGCTGAATCAGGTCTCTTGTACTTGAAATCCCTTTTCCTGGCTGCAAGATACCACTCCTCCCATTTCCTGTCCTGCTGCCCTAATAAACACAGGTATTTTGAAGCATGTCAAGAATCAAGGGTTTGAGTGACAGACCCAAGCTTATCTTGTGGCTCACTGCTGCCAACCTTCCCTGGCCTTTGCGAAATTTCTCAGCTGGTGGCTCTGGGGTTCATTTGATTTAACTTGACAAAGAAAGCAGAACATTTTTCTGCTGTTAGTGAGCTGAATGTGTTCAATGAAGTGTTTAGTGAGTGCTAGAGCCAGCTCAAGAGACTGGGCTAGTTATGGCTGGGCAAGGAACAGCTGTGGCAGGAACAGCTGCACCTTTGGAGACAGCAGATGCAGAGATGACCTTGACAGCATTGTCAAACCACATGCAGAGTCTTGCAATCTTCTCTTTTATACTGCAGATACCAGAGTCAATGATGTGAACCGTGGCCAAGAGTTGCAGTCAGAAGTGGGACACTGCTGAAGACTAGTAAAGAAAGGCTGACCTGTATTATTTGGTAGAGAAAAGGACTGAAAATCAATCCCACTTAGAAAGTAGGAATTCCAGGGTCAGTCCAGGTGGAAAAATAGTAAAATAAAGATTTTCTTATAGATATGCTGCTTTTCTGCAACTCTATATTCTTTTCTTCTCTCTATATTGCACTCTCTAAAAGCAATCATCCCAGTTACTCCAGTTATTGCAGGATAGGAATGGTCTGTAAAAAGGTGGCTTTACAGGCAACAGCTGGTTCATTTAATTACAGATAGACATATTTTCTGCCTCTAATTCACATGCTGCCCAAGCACACAAGTACAGTTTGCTTCTTCTAAAGCAGTCCATTTGACCTAGATAACTGCTACCCTCTCTCGAGACAAAACCTCCTCACATTCTTTTTAAAGTTTCATGTTGCAGGCTCCATGCAACAGCCAGAGGTATAAAAGTTTTAACAAAATAAAATTAAACAAGGACTGTAAGTCATATCATATTTGACACTGAGAGACAAAAATTAAAACAACTGACCCTGAGATATTCTAGGACTTAGCAGAAAAAGAATGTTTTCTATTTGGGCTTTTGAAAATCACATTTAAAAAATAACCAGCTCAGAACTTACCTCTATGTGATTCTTGCTTTCAAAAGATGCCTAGAAGACCTCTTGTATGGTAATGTTATGCACTGGAAGGTTTACACAGAATTTAAATAGAAAGAGTTATTACCAGCATGCAGAGAAAACCACTCCTTCATTGTTCTCCATTTTCCCTCCAATCGATCCATCCCAGTTACTGCCAGTCCACTGTCCTGCTTCAGGAGCAGCTTTCAACTAAGTTCCCAGAGGAGCATCTGATGTTTTTCCAAGAAAAGCTCTCAAGACTCTGAATGAACAGTCCTTTCGGCACAATCCCCGTGCCCAACAACTTTCTACATAAAAGCCCTCATTATGAATTTTGAGTCAGAGGGGTTTTCTCAGTCAGTGTATGTTGCTGATCAGTCTTTCTTGACCTAGAATTGGTGTTTCCCATATAGTCTGTGCCCTAAAGTCCATTCAAATATTGTGCAGGCTAACGACTGCAAAAGAAAAAAGATCCAAAAGAAAATCATGTTTAAAATTTGATTCAGAATTGGCAGCTCTGTCACCTCTCCCTTAGCTGCCATCTCATTAACATATTTGTTCAAAAGCCTTTTCTCTGCTTCATTACATAATTTGTGTTACAAAATCCAGATAAACATTCATTATTCCCAGATCTAAATAATGGCTTACTGCGCTTCCTTTTTCTTCTTCTTTCATTTTTCCCAGAGAAAAATGGGGAGACAGAAGGAGCTTGTTTAGATGGGAAATGAACCACACCAATTTCGGAGAAATATCTGTGGCAGCTGTTGTCTATGGCATTATGATACATTGTGCAACGACTATTGAATGATTCTTTCTGAAACTCCTGCAAAGTGAAAGAATTAATATTAGTGCTCCTACTTGACAGACTAAGAAGGTCAGTTAATATTTTTTTCTGCATCTCCTGTATCCCACAGTTCCACACTGGGTAGGTTCTGTCACATCAGAGACACCACTTGCATCATACAGCTAGAAGGGATCAGTTGTAGCAGCAGGTACACAAATGCTCGACCTTCCTTCACAAAGTCCTGAAACTTCTTGGCATTGAAAACACAAAGTTCTGTTCCTCTTTCTCTCTATATATCTTCTGAAGTTTCCTATTTAAAATGTATTGCTGAGTCCAGGAGGAGACAGGACGTGCTGTTCCTGGGGCCTGTGTGCTGTCAGTCCATCCCAATCACAGCAGAGGATCCCCAGGGAGGAAAGGCAACGCTTGCTAATGCAGGTTGGAGATTTCACCGGGCACGTACTTGGATACCCCGAAGTGCTCAAGGGTCACTGGGGAACCAGTGAGGCCTGGGCATGTGCTGGGCACGGCTGAGCAGCCCCTGTGCACCTGGGGACCACAGGCTGGGGATTGATGCTGAGCTTCTCTCGGGTGGAGATGGAGGGAAAACACCTCCCACGAGCTGGCAGCTTTTGTCCAAGGGAAGCAGCATTGCCCCAGGGAGGCCAAGGTGGGTTTGTGGGGCTGAATACTAGCACGACCATCCCTCAAGAGACAAAGGGGATGGCAGCATGCCCCTGCCCTCCTGCTCACCACAAGCCAGCCCTAAGGCTCTGCAGCCTGGAGGGACCTCCCATGCCATGCCTTCCTCCTCAGGGCACCACAGGCTCCCTGTGCTCCTGGGCTGGAGCATGCCTGGGTGCTGGAGGCAAAGGCCAGCCAGGCGTGGGGTGGAGGAACCCTACCACCTGCTGAACCACCTAATGTAAATCAAACTTACATGGGAAACAAGAAACCTGAGACCCCAGAGTTTCTCTAAGGATTTGCAAATTAATCCATGTGTGGAACTCCCACTGAAAATCA